CTTTCTTTCTTTCTTTCTTTCTTTCTTTCTTTCTCTTTTTTACTTAGTTCTAGTTCAGTTTTGTTTCCCTATTTTTATTCAATCTTTCCTTTCGATTTCCAGTATCGCTTTCTAGTCATTCTTTATCTTCTCATTGCAAAAAAGATATTAGAAATTTCAATTTATTGTGATCTTTCCTGCCAGAGAGGCTTCGATCAGTTCAGAATGAGTCACACCATTGTATTGCCACAAAATATTCCTTATCGAAAGAAAAATATCTTCCATTAATTAAGTTGCTATAGTCGAACAGCCTGCGTTTTCACACGAGGTACTTACACCAAAAACTTTCCGTTTTTTATCCTTAAGTTTCTTTGGTAAACAATATATTAATGCCATTAAAACAGTCTTCGGTAACATAGGATGTACTCGGGGGGATGTATAGGAAGGAAAGATAAGGAAAGAAAAGAAGAAAAGAAAGAAACCAAGGTAGAAAAGAAGGATGGAAGAAAAAAAGGTAGAAAATCTTGTTGGAATGAGGGAAATTTGCCACTGGCTTACCATGGGTTACTACATTAACCAAGGCCACCAAAACAATTTACAAATCACATTTTTGACGCCGAATAACAGATGAATTGCTGAATTATTGATTTCAAACTGTTTTTGTTCTCTCCTGATCATACACATACTCGTGTAAAGTAAAATATTTACTTTTAAAGGAAAAAAAATACAGATTCCATAGTTTAAATACTCGATCGTGATTGGCTAATTCGTATGAAAATTGGTCTGGGTGGCCTTGGTTGGTGTAGTCGCACTGTCAAGAAGACTCTATGTGGAAATCTTGTGGGCGTTAAGGGAAACGGATATCCTAGTCCAACTTGGAAACACAGCCATCAAGTGGAATAATCTCATCTATTTGTTCTTTGTAAACATCCTATGACATCAAAGCAGTGCGTGTTTGGCATTTCAAAATAACATTTAATGGGTGTTAGTTCATAGCGACCGTTATCTGCCGGGCATTGCCATTAAAACAAAAGAAAAAAATCTTTGCTTTTAACGTGTTTACGACATTGAAGATTAAACTTTGGGAATCGCAATTCAAAAAAGAAAGGAAATCTCGCCTGATTATGCTGAGAGTGGTACTTGAGTAGAATAAATAAATCGGGTTCCAGTTGTGTGTTGAAACACAAAATGACAAAATGTTAAAATGAAAACCAATGATTACCATTTAAAATAAATATAAGTGGATGGGAAGCTTTACAGAATTAAAAAAAAAACTTTTCTTTATTTGAGTGAAACCTGGGGTTATGGTTACAGTCATTAACATATAGGAAGTAGTAAACCTTTAGACTCAACATTCAAATGAATATATATTTCACCATTCAACTATTCACTTTATGTAGAATCAATACTGAAAGTATTGTATCAGAAGCTACTGGATGCACTTCAATACCCAGGATCGATAACCATCTAATCACCAAGTTCAAGGTTTTGAAATTACCACGAAACAGGTGCGAGTATTTGTTCAACCAAAGGACAGTTTCCCAACTCATCAGTCGCTTGACCTTGGTTTGATGTTTTTGTACGCTTCGCCCTTCTTTCTAAATGCCTAGCAATGAGTTTGTTATAAAAAATATTGGCAATTCACGGCGGAAGCTATAGACTACTACTGCATACTATTTCGCTAACAAATCCATTAGCGATTATTTTCATGCTGTGACACTGAAATGGCTTTGGGAAACGCTCGTGAGAGAGGCCTTCTTTACCAGCAAGTATTAAGCTTAAATATTTTACATTATTAAAAACGGAAACTAAATTCGTAATGAATTTAAGTACAATTTTGCCTTACAAATTAATTAATCCAATTTTATTATTTCAATTCCTAACACATTTATCAGGTGTAAATTAAGATTTTATAAATTAGGGCAAGGTCTTACCGCAAAGTTTTTTTTTGAAAATCATTTAGCTTTTTCGACATATTTAGTTCTAAATGAAGGAATTAAGCAACTTTATAAGTCAATTGAGGTCAGAACTTCAATTGAAGCTGCCAAGTCTAAGAAATAATCTTAGATTTAGTTTATTATTTATTCGACAGGAGACTCCTTCGTGACTGCGTTAACTAATATCAATCATTATGGATTTCATAATTTGTCGATAGGTTTCTCTGTCAAATTGCCTTCTTTAGATGATCAATAATCTTGCCGGCTTTGGGCGGATCGGACCACTATTTTCATCGAACATTAATTCATTCCCTTTTAAACTTGCTTAATTTTCTAGTTGAGACAGGTTTCTTCCTGTTTTCTTCCCTTCATTTATCATAGCGCTTTTAGTTTATGTATTATTTCTCTCATTTGTTGACGGACTTGCTGTGAATTGTCATGTAAACTTGCTAACAAGCCAAGACTAATATAAAGAATCGATGAGTTTTCAATGCTTATTTGTGCTGGTATATATTCTTCATTTCTAGACTTCATGACGGCGTCGAGTGAATAAGGGACAAGTTCCAGTGAAGCTGGTTGACAAAGGATACTCATTCAGACGAAACTTTAATAAGGAGAGAAAGTAAATATTCGGTTGTGCTGTATAAGATAAAAGGACGCAACCCGCAGCGATAACGGTATAAGGAGAAAAAAATCAATAACAAGTCGGAAGAGTTGGTAAAAAGGAGAACGGAGACAGATTTGAAGAGAAGAGAGACTGATTTTCCACGGTAAGAGAATTGGGGAAAGAGAAAGAAGGGCAAAAGTAAAAGAGAAGGAGAAGAGGACTAAAGTAGCTTGAATAGTGTAACGTTGCCGAAGAAAAAGAGAAGAAAAAGAAGAAGACGACGACGACTGCAGAAGAAGAAACACTTAGTAGTATCTAACGCTGTCAGCGCCAAAAAACTGAACTATAGAAAACGGTAATCAAAGAAAAAAAGAAAAACAGAAGTTTGGCAGCAGTAGCAGTATTACAACACCAATCAACAACCTAACTATGAATAACAACACATCATCTAGTATTATCTATCCTCTCGAGTCGCCAGAAGCAAATGTCCGTTTTGTCGTTTACCTTGGAAGTCTAATCTTAGGTACGTTTGGCGGATGTACTGTCCTTGCAGCGATAATAACCAAGCAAGGAAACAAGACAGACAACGACATTTTCTTGACTAATCTCGCCATTTCCGACATGCTGACAATCTGGGTTTACGTAGGAGTCCATTTTTACCTTCTCTCCGGTCATCTCTATGGAAAATACTTCTGTCTGTACTTCTGGCCACTCATGAGCGTGCCACTGTGTGCAAGTATATTTACTATCACATCCATGGCTGTTATAAGGTGTCGCAGTATCTTGTTCATGTGGACTCAAATGATCACTCAAAAAACTGCTAAGATTTGGGTTCTAGGCTTATGGATAGCAGCATTCATCGTTCTTATCCCCGCTCTTGCTGTTTCAAAGTCAGCTGGTCGATTCTGTCATCTTGACTGGTCTACGATAAGTCAGAGAAGAGCGTACGTTTTCTTTATTTTTACTGTTGAATATCTGTTCCCTTTGGTCATAGTGCTATGTTGCTACGTTGGCATCGGCATGAGCTTGAAGAAGCTCGAAGGACAAGTGCAGAGAGAGAATATACAACGTGAGAATAAAGACATCATCAAAGCAATTGCAGCAATTGTCATTGTATTTGCTATCTTCCTGATGCCTTTACAAGTTGGAATGATGATGTGGGAGTTTGGAAACACAAAAGCAAAGAAACTAGTCCTGACCTTCATGAACTATGCGGATATATTATGCATCTTTCACAGTTGCCTCAATCCATTCATCTACGGTATTGTTCCCAGAGAGTTTCGTAATCGCTACTCTAAGTGGATTACAGTGGTCATAAACAAAATCATAAACAACTGCTGTCGACTCTCAAGATATAAATTCAGAGAACAACGAAATATGGGTGGAAATAATGTCTATCTTGGGACAACCGATGATATAATACTTTAATAAATTCAGTTCAATTTCGCATACTGGAGAAAACCCATCATTACAACTTCTGTAAGAAATCCCAGATACGTGTAAACTGAAAAAAAGAAATTATAGCATAGTTCTTAAAAGTGTATTTTCATAGAGGTCTGTGTCGCTTTGCAGCGGTGAATAAGTGCATATTGGACCAAAGAAAGTGTTCGTATTAGAGAGGTGTCCGTATTATAGAGGTCTGT